ACGAGGAGATGCGGATCATCATACCCCCAACTATGAGGAGTTACGGTGAACCGACATGGTGACCTCTTAAGATGTAAAAAAAACGTCTAAAAATAGAACCTCACACAGCCGAGTCGTGCACCCGCACCGCCTCATGGTAAACAAAGGAGTGATGTAGGACTCAGACTTTTAGATTCAGGACTCGTGACTGGAGTCAGCAGCTTTCTGCTTCAAAATAAAATACAGACTTATCCTAAAGTGAAGCTGCTCCATCGTCCCTGTGTGCAGAAGTCCATAAACGTCTGTATTTATCAAAGACGCAGACATCAAAAAGTTTTCAGTGTTGATAAAGTTCTTAAACCAGCAGGCTCATTCAGGAACGCCTTCAATTAACCAAACATGGTAACAACACACCTCTTTAAAAACAAAGGATCGTCATGGCAACCAAAACAGAAGGAGGATGAGGAGGACCATATGCACTGTTAGGATTAATGAGGGCTCTGAAGGTTTCAGGTACAGATGTAAATACTGAACCTTTCACTCAGACTTTATCTGGAGTTTCCTCACATTGCACTTAGGAGGACTGCCGCTGAAAGCCTCCTGATCTGGTTGTTCACACAGAGGGGGGGGGGGGGGGGGGGGGGGGGGGGGGGGCTCCTCAGTCGGAGAACAATAGCTTTTGTGTGAGAGCACTTTCATGGTGTCATAGGTGTACTCTGAGTCAGCTCTGATTACTTGATTTGTTCTGATAACGTTCCTGTATGGAGCTTCAGTAATCTGACCCCCGATCTGTTGTCTCAATGTGTGCCTTGCTCACAGGCCGTCTGATCCACTTTGAATCCACCCGGGAGCGTTTTCTTACCGAAACCCGGTCTGCTCATTCATCGGATCGATAACTGACAGAGGGGAAGGTTCACGCCCTGTTTCCACTCGGGGTTATATAGAGGACATGAACTCATTCATAAAACTCCTCCAGAGGAGAAACGGCTTCAGAGCCCGTCTGCTTCAACGGGAAAGTCCAGGGGGGGGGAGGGAGGGGCTCCCGTGTTTACTTCCCTCGTTTTCTGGTGTTTCTTTTGTCTTGTTTATAACTTGTAGACTTCTCCTGAAGAGGGATCTCTCTCTCTCTCTCTCTCCCTCTCTCTCTCCCTCCCCTCTCTCTCTCTCTCTCTCTCCCTCCCTCTCTCTCCCTCTCTCTCTCCCTCTCCCTCCCCCTCTCTCTCTCTCTCCCTCTCTCTCTCTCTCCCTCTCTCTCTCCCTCCCCCTCTCCCTCTCTCTCCCTCTCCCTCTCTCTCCCTCTCTCCCTCTCCCTCTCTCTCCCTCTCCTCTCTCTCCCTCTCTCTCTCTCTCTCTCCCTCCTCTCTCCTCTCTCTCCCTCTCTCTCTCTCTCTCTCCCTCTCTCTCTCTCTGGGGGGATGTTTTTCCGGTGCTTTGTACGGTCTGAGGAGATGAAAGCACATCATTAAAGTACAAAGTAGGTCCTCTGGGATTTACTGGAAGGCTTTTTTTTTTGTCTTTTGTTAACCCTTGGCTGAAGGGATTACACATTAAACTCCACGGATCGTCTGAGCGGCCGTCGCTCGGCCCTCCGCCAGATGAATTAGAAGAACTAGACGTGTGTGTGCTCATTTGGTTGATTTATTATCCCGATGAGATAATGGACCTCCATGAATTCAGGTGTGTTTTTTTCTAGAAGGCAGAAAATGATGTGAATGTTTGCAAACTGTATTCAAACATTTGTGGCCCAACATGCTCTCATACACTATGAAGACAAAGATTTAAGAGTTTCTGACTTCCATCAAAAAACTTTTTTTAACAGTGGTTCTCAAACTGATGGTTCAGGACCCAAAGGTGGGTCGCTACGCTGTTTCCAGTGGGTCGTGATTGTGCATGAATACCTACTTCCTGTGCACCTGGAAGCTGTGCTTAACAGTATACAAAGTGCTTTTAAAAAATGTTGGCTTGCTTTCTGTATTTGGTCACAGCCTCTGATCTGCAGGTACCAGAGCCACAGAACAACATCTTGAGGAAATGAACAGCGTTCAGTCCACCAGCTCAAACACTCGGCCTTCCTCAATTTAATGACGCCTGGCTTTACTGCCACCAGACTTCTCCAATAAAGCGCCTAATAAATCGCACAACAGAGCAGTCTCTGCAGTGAGAGCAGAAGTGTCCATGTTGTTTCAGTTCACTGCTGTTTTAAAGCTGCAGCAGCAGAAGCCAAGAGTTAGCGGCAGCAGTCAAGCGACAGCAGCAACAGCAGGCAGTAGCAGCCTCAGCAGGAGCAGCAGCAGTCAGCCGGCAGCACTAGCAGTAGTGTCCAGGGACGACAATCTCCCTCTGGAGCCAAAGCATGATGCGTCTCACTTCTCCTATATTTAATCTACTTAAAAATATTGAACAAACCATGTCAAACTCTTGGAAAAGGACGATGCAAACTAAACACAAACACGTCAGTCATGCCTAAAAGTGTTCCATCAGTCCAGCTGGTCCGGAGCAACACAGACTAAATCCATCCACCTGACAGTGTTTAGTTTCCTTTTTCCCACAGTCCCACTTTGAGTCTCTGGACTGTAACACGGAGCAGAAGTCTGTGTGTGCATGTAGACACCATGAATGTGGAGGGCCGTGCAGGACCAGTGGTACCTGTTGTAGTCTTAGAAGTAGTGATATTAGTGATAACAGTAGTTCATCTGGACGCAGCAGCTGGTTTAGCAGTTCATGCTGCAGTCGGGAGAAACAGTAGTAGCAACAGCTGTCGCAGCAACACCGCTAATAGAAGTGCAAACACACTTTGTATTAGCAGTTGGCTATTTAAAAAGAATATCCACATTCATTTCAAGTCCTTCCTCGCCCCCCCGGCCTGCTGGGAAAACAACATGTTTGAGTGTAGACTCAACAAAGTGAGGAAAGCAAAGGCGTATTTTTGTTTTTTTAATCAGGAGGAACAGTTCTGTGTCTGTGACCTCCTCACGACCGGCTGCTTGAAGAACTGCTGACAAAAAGACGGCCAACATTTCAGCGGTTATTTTAGAAAAAAACTAACTGTACACCTGTACTCTGTTCCTGCCTCGGGGTCGTCCGTCAAGCTGAGTGTCAGTGTTTACAATGAAAGTGGATTGTGCTGCAGAATCAGGTAAACTGTATTCTTCCCTTTACAAGTTTCAGCAGCATTAAGTGGGAGCTGCTCACTTTCAGGGCGTCTGTTTCTGTCACTTCTCCATCCTGACAGGTGTACCTGCTGAACGTGTGTTTCACTTGAATACTCGCCATCTGAAGTCCACAACGATTTGACTTACATTTATGATCATATCAGGAAGTGTGGGGTTTTCAAAAGCAACTTAAGTGACCTCTGCAGATTCAGGCAGATTCAGTACTGATCTGCTCTAATTTACAGAATCCCGACTAACAGGCTGAGGGGGGGGGGGTCGGCAACTGCAACCACAAAAAGCAAAACGAATCCGAGGTCGTATCGCCGACCACTAGACCGACTGATTAGATAAGCACCCTCTCCTTTTATTCCATGAGGCTAACACTCTGCCACAGAGAGAAAAAGAGAGAGAGGAGAGGTCTTAACTTCTGTGAACTCTCTTTAGTGAAGAATAATGATAAAGAGTGCAGACCTCTGCTCCTCCACCTGACATCCCTCCATCCATCAAACACCACTTCCTGTTTGTGTTTCTCCTCCTGCGCGCCCACTCTCCACCACTCCAACAAAGAGCCAGCGTATGTGACACATATCTGCATCTTTAAGTCTGTTAACGTGTGTGTGTGTGTGTGTGTGTGTGTGTGCCTGCATCTCGCTCTGCACTGTGATTGGTTTATGACTGCGGCGCTGTGTGTCTGTGTGATGTACATGCATGGCGGTCCTGCGACAGTTTCATGTCACAAGACTGAAAACATCAACATGCTGAGTCTGCAGCAAGGCGCCAGTCACCAGGGAAACAATTCAGCCAGACACACACACACACACGCACACACACACACACACACACACACACACACACACACACACTCTCAGTCAGCCAAAACACATCGTCTGCAACGCACCAGCAAAACAACACTGCAGTCGTAAACACAAAATGAAAAGGGCGACATCACACTCACCGAGCTCGGAGGCGTTTGTGCCTTTAATTCGGTTTAGGAATGCATGAGAAGGTAACCACCCGAAAATACACGTTTTGTTTTCTAAACCAAGGAGTCACTCCCCTTTGGAAAGACGTGAGCAGAGACAGAGTTTCGATTGATACCTGTTTAGATCTCACTCTGGTTTGATTAAAGGGATTTTGTTTAGCTCTGAGATCGTCATCAACAGCCAGTAAAACACCTGCA